CTGTCTCACCTTCTTTGGAAGTAACTGTACAGCCTCATTACTATTCAATCCTGTGCTTATTAGGAAATGCTTCGGGCGCCTGGGTGGCTCAGTTGGTTAAGCGACTGCCTTCGGCTCAGGTCATGATCCTGGAGTCCCTGGATCGAGTCGCGCATCGGGCTCCCTGCTCGGCAGAGAGTCTGCTTCTCCCTCTGACCCTCCCCCCTCTCATGTACTTGCTCTCTCTCATTCTCTCTGTCTCAAATAAATAAATAAAATCTAGAAAAAAAATGCTTCAAATAAGAGAAACACAAATTAAAAGGGGTGGAGGGGGTAGCTTTATGTGTTTCTGTCTATGTAACTGAATTTATTGCTCCCAGAGAGACTGCAAAATCTTTTTTTTTACTTTAAGTCTCTAAAGTAGTGAGGGAAAGAGGGTATGGAAATGGCTTTGGGTAAGTATCCTTGCAGTCAGAGCTTGGACACAAAACCTAGATCTGCCAATTGCATCAAGTCTTGACCTTGGATGGGACAAATAATAGGTGAAGCAGCCAGGACTCAGCCTAATCCATTTTGGCGGTGGGCAGTTGTGGCTCTATCCAGGTCCCAGAGGCAGCATTTCAACAGCATGCCATGTTCAGTGTCAAAGGCCCAAGCTGTGATGGTTAGCGCATGACACGGAGGTGGTGGTGGTGGTGGTGACTTCAGTAGCCTAGTTCTATGGCATAGATTTTAGACTTGTTCCTGGTTGCACAGCTTCTGTGCCAGGTCCTGCAGCCCTTCTAGAGGGTCTGGAGCTCCTCACTCCACTTTCAAGAAATTGCTTTCTGCTGAAATTAACCATACCCAGTTGCTCTCGGCTGTTTCCTGCAAACATACCATGAGCAACCTTGCTTCCACACCTTCCTATGTCCATTTTCTCTTTTTGAATGACATGCCTTTTTACCTAATTTTATCAGAAATTCTACCCCATTTAAAAAATAATTCTGACAGTTCCCTTTTTCTCTCTCTCTCTTTTGTTTAATATTTATCACGGAAATTTTCAAATGTACACAAAAGTAGAGAGAGTAGTATAGTAAACTTCCATAGCACATTACCATGTTTCAACGTCTTATTCATGTTTTATCTTTCCTTTCCCCACGTTATGGGGGATAGAAGGAGAGGAGATGGAGTATTTTATGGCAATGCCCAGACATCATATCATCTCACCCATAAATACTTCATATGTATCTCCTATCAGATAAGAACTTCAAAAATAAGATAAGCACAATGTCACTATCACACCTAATAAAATTACCAATAATTTTTTAACATCCAATTCCAGTCCATGTTCATACTCTCCTAGTGTTCTCTGAAATGAATTTTGACAATTGGTTTGTTCAAATCAGGCTGCAGATTAAGTCTGCACAATGTATTTGAGTGATATGTCTCTTTTTCCAATTTATTTTTAAAATTTAGATATAATTCACATAAATGAAAGTCTCTTATGTCTTTAAAAATCTATAGCAGTTCCTCTTTCCTGTTTATTTCATGCTATTTATTTGTTGAAGAATTTCTCAATGTCTTGTAGAATTTCTCAATTTCTGGGTTTGTCTGATTGCATCCTCATGGCATTATTAACATGTTCCTCTCCTTTTTTTCCCCCTGTAAATTAGTGGTTAGATCTAGGGGCTTGATTAGATTCAGTTTTCATGTTTTATGTCGTAGACTTTTTCTTTCTTTTTTTCATTTTTCTTTCTTTTTTTAGATTTAGCTTAGTCACAGCTCCTCCAAGAATTCTTCACTTTATCTCCATCCCTGCCCTTAGTGGTGGCTCCTTTCTCAGACACTTGTAATATTTACCTATCTATTTATTTATCCATCAAATCATTTTCACTCCTATTCCTAAAAAGGCAGGGAGTATGCCCTGAGTGCCGGGACCGTACATGGCTCAAAACTGCTATTTTCCCCATATCTAGCACATAATGTGGCTTATATAGAGTAGGAGCTCCACACATTGTTGTTGAGCTAAATGGACATGAAAGTACAAATCATACACCAGTTGTCTGCTGCTTAGTACTTGCTGCCTTATGTATGGTTTCTCCCTGGGTTACAAACTTTGACTCAGCTCCTGGACTATGAGTCTCTTGAGGGCAGAGAGGAGGTCAAATACATTCTTGCAGTCTGGGTACTTAACACAGGGCTCTGTCTATAACTAGTGTGTGTTCAATGCATATTAAAGTGAAGACCCTTGCCTGTCTATTTTTTTTTAAGATTTATTTATTTATTTATTTGAGAGAGAGAGAGAGTGTGAGAGCGAGAGAGCACACAAGCAGGGGGAGCAACAGAGGGAGAGGGAGAAGCAGGCTCCTTTGCCCATCTATTCTTGCTGGATTTTTTTTTTTAATTCTTTATTTATTTGAGAAAGAGAGAGCACGGAGGGAGAGTGAAAGGGAGAAGCAGACTCCCTGCTGAGCACGGAGCTCTATGTGGGGCTCAATCCTAGGACCCTGGGATCGTGACCTGAGCCAAAGGCAGACACTTAACCCACTGAGACACCAGGCATCCCTATTATTGCTGGATTCTTATGAGCTCAAATGAAAGGTGCATGGGGCGCACCTGAGTGGCTCCGTCCTGCTCCCCCTGCTTGTGCTCTCTCTCTCTCTCTTTCTGTCAAATAAATAAATAAAGTCTTTAAAAAAAAATGAGAGGTGTGTGTGACATGCATGTGCAAAGAGTAAAGTATTAAAATATAGGTAAGTGTGACAATAATTATAATCTTTTGTATTTTTTTCTTTTGTATTTTCAATAGACACAATCCTTGGTTGAAATGTATGAAGATACTGACTTTTATCACCTTTTTAAAGAAAGGGTATCTATTCCTAGGGTTTAATTCATTAATGAAGAGGGATTACAGTGCTATCTATCAGGTGGTCAACTTTTTGTTATGTGGATTAATGGTATGGCTATCCATAGGGAAGTATCTATTTAAAGGAATGAAAAGTTTTTAGGGTGACTGATTACTCAAACTCTTTTTGTTGCAAGTGACAAAAATCTAAACCATAATAGTACCAGCAAAAAGAAAATAATTTTCGGTTCATATCTCTGGAAAATCTAAGGATATCTGTTTCTCTGATTGTTGATCTTATCTTGTTATCTCAGTTTTGGTCAGCATCCCTACGTGGCCATAAATAATTAGCTCTAAGTTCTCTTCCTTGGAGCATCATACTTCCACAAATCAGTCTTTCCTGGTTGCCCTACAGAAAATTTCAAAGGAGAACTTTTAGTCATCTTAGTGTCCTCTGTACATCTCTAAAGGAGTCACTGTTGCTAAGGAAAAGGGGCCATTTATTGGCCAGGATTAAGTCACATACCCACTCCCATTGGGTCGCAGATGGCACTCTAATCAATAATTCTGTCACATGTGATAGAAGAGAACATTTCTCTAACCCAGAGTAGGATGAGACCAGAAGAAAAAGTGTAGGGGAAAAATAGCAGTTATCTGTGTGTACCTCAGGGCAACCTCAGCTCAGAGCTCCATACCCTACAGATCTCTCTGGAAGGTGCACTTTGTTGGAGGTAAATTCAGGGCTTTTAGCTTTCTCGACAGTTTTTTTCCTCTTCAGGTTTGGTTCCTTAGGTCTGGTAGGTCACTATTTGATGAGTGACATAATGGACTGTTTCATTACAGTTCTAAAGAGGTTATACACTGCACTTCTAACATAAAGTTTTTGATAACCTTTAAGGGGTCAACGGAATCTGGGAGATGCCCAATCATTAGTCCAGCCTCCTTAGAATTTCATCCGAGGATGATCATTTAGTTTACTACTTCTGGAAGGACAAACTCACAGATGAAGTGTTAGTCTGAGAGGAATATCTTCAAGAGACAATAGATGAAAGAATGACCATTGAGCCGTGTTTTTTTATAGACTACAAATCACTTTCCCTTGCATTTGACCTTGCAACATCTTCTAAGACAGGTTTGCCAGTCTCCTTTGTTACAGATGAAGAAATTGAAGCTTCTAGGAATCAGTGACATGCCCAAGATTACGCAGTGCTTTAGACAAAGATTTTGGGATTTCACTCTGAGTCTCATAACTTTAAACACCACCCTCTAACACTCTACTGCCTCAAGACACTTTTAAAAGAAGGAACACATTCTACTGGAACTAATCAGAGGGAAGGTCTGGAAATACAAATGAGCCATAACTGAGCCTGTTATTCTGTTACCTAAATGGGTGCTGGGAAGTTCAGGCGGGAGGATGACACCTGTACAATTTATTCATCCCCAAATTCACTCCCGAATTGTTAGGAAAATCCCGTTTGAACTCCCAGCCAACTGAGAAATTAAAGGCAGACAGTGACGACGTTGTTTTGTAACTTTGTGCCTTTTAAAATTAACCGAAACTTTCAAGTGCTGCTTTAGATTAAAAGTGGCTAACCCGATAAAGGGAAAAGAGCCACTCAGCTGGATGAATAGTATTGTAAAAGCCCAGACTGAGTTATAGAAAAGGAACGCAAAAGAACAATTTTTACAATAATGTTTTAATTATAAAGTGAAGGCAAATTCCTCCACTCCATTCCAGTCCGAGGACAAGCTGATATGTCGCAGAAGCGCTGGGAAGCATACAGGCTGATAGGAAGTCCTTTTATTTTAAGATAGGCTTGAAGGCTAAAACTTTCTAGTGCCAAAACCTTTCACGATTAAAATATATATATATTTTATTTTATTAAGGAGTTGGCGTGCTCTCGCAAATGTCTGAGCTGGGAGTAGGGGTGACGGTAGGACAGCAAGGCTGAGTCCACTCTTACTAATATTAAATAGCCAAGTCTGTACCCTTGAAGCAAGTGGGGAGAGAAGAGGGAGAGGAGCTGCTGACATTGACAATGAATCCAAACAGGAGTTGCAATAGCGGTGTCCACCACGTTGCCTCAGTCCCCGCCTGGCCTTCTGGGAGTTGTAGTTTTCGCGGGAGCGGTTTCCCCGGCGAGCCGGGAACGCCCCGTCCGGGCCGAACTACAGATCCCAGGCAGCGCGCGGCCGCCCGCCCCTCCCGCCCGGGTGCGAGTGTAAACTCGCAGCGCCGGGGCGGGCGGCAGCGAGCGGGCGAGCGCGCTGAGCTGGGCACTGCGCGGGGGCGCACCGCTCGGGGGACCCAGGCCCCGCCACCTTCCCTCCGCCCCCGGGCTCTGTTCTCACTTTTGAGCAGTGGAAGGACGGAAGCAGGAGCCATGCAGTCGGAATCGGGGATCGTGCCGGATTTCGAAGTCGGGGAGGAGTTTCACGAAGAGCCCAAAACCTATTACGAACTCAAAAGTCAACCTCTGAAGAGCAGGTGAGTGGTGACAGCTGGAGGAAGGCGTTGCGGGCGGCTGGGGGGCCCCACACCCTGGGGCGGGGAAAGCCGGTCGCCCGGGCTCTGGGACAAGGACCCCGTGTCCTTGCCCGGGGGCAGAGGGCGAACTGCCCCCCGCAGTTGGGGGCCGCGCCTGCCGGGCCGGTACACCCCTGGGGGGCTCCGCCCAAGTGCGCCTCGGGGGCGCCGCGGGCAGCCCGGGACGACCGGCCCAGGTGAGGGGTCCCTCGGCTGGGGATACCAGCTGCTGAGACCGGGTGGGGGCTGGGGAGCGACCTGGCGCGCAGGTGGGGGAGGAGGAGCCCGGGTCCCGGACGCTGCCCGAGTGGGAAGGAGGAAAAAAGAGTTTCTCGTGAACCCCTTTTCTGGAGATCCTAGCGGGTTGAGGACTCGGAGAGGTAGTGCTTGGGGTGGGTTGAGGCGCGACGCTGAGGGAAGCAATTAGTTCGTCTGTTGTCGCCTCCTAGGAGTCGGACTCCTCTGGGAAAGCCCGCCCCTGGCCGCCTGCAGGTGATGCTTCCCCCGGGCCCGCCTCTCACCTTGCAGACCGCGGCACAGGCGCGCGGGCCCGTTAGGGGCCGCGGGTGGGCGTGTCTCTCGTCCAGGTTAAACTCCCTGGGCAATAGAGTTCCATTCAAATCCGGGCCTTCCCTGGGGGGGAAAAATCCTTGGAACTGGAGGGTATTGGGACACACCTGCTTGGCAGCGACACGTGTTTAATTCGCTGAGGACTTCAAAAACTTTTTGGAGAGAAGTGAAGACACCCGCTGCTCTGGCGCCCCACCGCGTTGCGTGCCCACTTTCTATGCTACCTCCATTTCCACTAGTCCATCGGAATGGGTTGGGTATCTTCCTTTCTTGGTCCTCTGGCCCCTCCCTGGCATTTCCAGTGTTTACAAAGCGGGAGATGGTCATTTGAGGTTGTGATAGTAGAGAAGGGTTTTTATGTCCACCGCCTTCAGTTGTGGAAGAAGATGAGGCCCCGCCTGGAAGGTTCAGCAATGCTTCTGCACCCATCTCAGACCTTCCTGACTGCCCTGGCAGTGGGTAGAATCTGGGCCTGGCTGGCAGAGGGTGAGAGGGTCCAGAAATCAGGCTGGTTGAAGAGAAGGGCAACTGACTCAGGACGGAAGTTGTACAGTCTTTGTTTCTGGGGTGCGTGGGGCTGGTATTTGCTCTGGTGGCAAGCAGAACCAGGTTTGTTTCCTTCAGAGCTGTGTCAAGACTCTGAATCCAAGTCGGGGAAACAAATCTGGGAAAGGCAGACCCACTGACTGGGCTGCTGAAACAGTCTCTGTGCAGATGCTTGAAGGGGATTGGAAGGAAATGCAGTTAGATGCCTAAACCCAGCCTTTAGTTGATGGTTTCTCTTCATAATGGCTGTTTTGTGTGTGAACATAGATCGTGTGTGTTGGGGGTTGGGGGTTTTGAGTAATATTGTGTAAAGGGTATTGTTGGTTATGCTCATTGGGGCTTTATGTGCATTCGGCTGAAGGGACCAGTGTTTTACCGAGCAGTCTCTGCTTTTGCTTCTATAAGCAAATGCTTACATGGCCAGAAATGAGGGAGTGAGTGTTTGAGTGAGTGTGTGTGTGTGTGTGTGTGTGTGTGTGTAGTCCTGAAAGAAATGAATTAACGGACTGTTTGGAACATTTTTGATGGGAACTGATACATAACATTAAATGAGTTTGAGAGAGTGAGGAAAATACCATCTGGAAAAACCCAAATGAGTGCCATGAAACTCATGTTGAAGGATTTGGGCCTGTTCTTTTTCAGAGTCGGCAAAAAATTACTTGCAAGGGTGAACGTCCTCGGTAGCTAGCTAGCATGTGTAAGGAAAAATGTGGGTACGTGGGAAGCAATGGCTTCACACGTTGAAGCTAGAAACAGGTGCGGGACAGAACCGGTATGGAGAGGAATGCTAAATTAAAAAAGTTGTTGTAAAACTTGTCTGTGGAGCAGACACATGCTCTTTGAAATAAACCAGTTAAATAAAATCTGTGAATAAATATATGGGGTTGGCAAAATTTCCCTATACTGTTTTCCACAGTTGTCTAACTTATTGTCATCGGCATCTGTTGTGTGACTTTAAAAGGGCTACATGTTGTTAGGGGCCTCCTCATGGCTTTTTGTCTGAAGTCTTTGCCAGGGCACCTCCCTTCTCATAAGTCTTGGTTGGAAAAAGCAGAAACGGAAAGGTTAAGACTGCCGTAGCCATTTTGTCTGCCAGGTATATTCTCTGGATTGTCTCTTGGAGTTGAAAATGTGTTCAGAGTCGGCCCACCTCTCAGCAACTCCTCTGCTCCCACTTTGGTCCAAGTCCTCACCAGCCCGTGCCAGGGTTATTGCAGTAGTCTCTTAACTGCTCGCTTGCCTTCTCCTCTTACCCCTTCTGGTGGATTTTCTACACAGCAGCCACAATGTTCCCGTTAAAATCGGTTTTCAAGGGGGGCAGGCAGGCATTGCCCCCCAGGGGTCACTTGACAATGTCTGGGGAGATTTTTGGTTGTCCAAATGGAAGGGCGTTGGTACTGGTCTTTAGTAAATGGAGGCCAGAGACGCTGCTAACCGTTCTGTAATGCACAAGCTAGCCCCCGCAACAGAGAATTGTCTGGCCCTCAATTGTCACCGCTGACGCTGAGAAACGGTGGGTTAAAACGTGCCACATCATGTCATTCTCTGCTTAAAATTCTCCAATGGCTCCTAGTTTCAGTAACACTCGAGATCCTTTAACTGGCAAAAGGCAGCCTGTATGGTCAAGCTCCCTGTCAGCTCTGAGTTCATTTGCTGTCGCCAGGCTCATTTCGTCGCTGTTCCTGGAACACTCCAGACCCCTCCACTGTAAGGCCTTTGTATGTTGTTCTTGCTGGTGCCTCTGCCTGGACCGTCCTTTGCCCAGAGAGCCACAGTGCTCACTGCCTCACCAACTTCAGGTCTTACTTTTAATATTCTTACCAGGCCTACCTCACTATGTACAATTGCTGTCCCTCCAAACTCTCATCTTCCTTGCCCTGCTCTATTGTTCCCATAATATTTATATTACAATTGACTCTGTCATTTTTAATATGTTATGTTGATGTTTCTCCCCACTAGACTGCCAGCTTCAAGGGAGCAGGGATTTCTGTCTGTCCCTTGTTTACTGTTGTGTTCCTAGAATCTAGAGCAGAGTTTCTCAACCTCAGTGCAGTTGACATTTCGTGCTGGATAATTCTTTGTTGTGGGAGCAGTCCTGGGCATTGCACGATGTTGAGCAGCATCCCTGGCCTCTGCTTGCTAGAGGCTAGTACCACCCAACCTCCCGCTGTGACCACTGGAAATGTCTCCAGACACTGCCAGATGCCCATGAGGGGCACCGTCACCCCTGTTCAGAACAGTTGGCCTAGAACATTGCCTGGCACAGTAATGATTTGTTGTTTGAACAGGTGTTGCTTTCTCCCTTCGGACTCCGCTTAGGATGGGGTGCTTTGTTCTGATTTTGCATTCAACATTGCAGCCTTTTAAAATAGGTATCCACCGGGGCGCCTGGGTGGCTCAGCCGGTTAAGCGTCTGCCTTCGGCTCAGGTCATGATCCCAGGGTCCTGGGATCGAGCCCCGCATCGGGCTCCCTGCTCCGCAGGAAGCCTGCTTCTCCCTCTCCCACTCCCCCTGCTCGTATTCCCTCTCTCACTGTGTCTCTCTCTCTCAAATAAATAAATAAAATCTTTAAAAAAAATAAAATAAAATAAAATAGGTATCCACCAAGGTCTCTCCAAAGAGGAGCTTATATACTCTTCGTTTGGGCTAAGCTCCGATGTGCAGGTGTTTCATGAGGAAAGATGGTTTCATTCCTAACCCAGACCTCCTGGCCTTTAGGAATGCGAAGCTGCTCGGTTTAGATCATGTGAACCCCCCTTTTGGTCACAGTCACAGGTAAATCTGTGTTAGAGGAAGACGCATGCTATGAGGAAAGGTTCTAATGAAGAATTGTTTGCAGTTCGGTGCCCCCAGCAAGGTTTTTGAAGCCTTTGTATGTTCTGGGAATGAGCTCTGAATGGTGGGTGGCAGGGGAAAAGTGCCAAATATCAAGGGTGAACCCAGAATTCACACGTTGGCACAGTCCCATCAGGGAAACACATGTGGAGCTGTTCAATGCGTTCCTAGCAGTGCAGGAACTCTCTGTAGGTCTTTGGGACCTGAAAACAACACGTTAAAATATGGTCACATCTCTCAGGTTTAAGGTCGTCTTGTTCAGTTTACTGGGTGTGAAATTCTGTGGCTTTGTAGTCGCTAATGCCCCTTTCCTGGACAGACTTCTGAATTGACCCAATCTATTTCCAGTTTCTTCTCTTCCAAAATTTTAGTTACGTTTTAGGTAACTGTTGTCTAACTTCCTGCAAATTAGAAATGGGAATGAGAGTGAGTCTTAGGTTTATTATGGCAAGATAGGATACAGCAGTGTTTCCCAATGCTGATTCATAGAGAGATGTGTGAAGATTTTACAGGTTTGTGGTGAAATGAGAAAGACAAAGACTATTGTGTCACATGCACATGCACACACATACTCACATGTTTTAGTATAAGGCCGTTTCTTGGATTTATTCTGAGATTTTCTTTCCCGTCTTCCTATTAAAAATACCCTTTCTGAGCCTGCATATTCTCCACTCTGTCTTTTCCTCTTATTGCAGGCTGGGACACAGACACGGTGGTGGTAATCTTGCTTAACCATAAAGCCAAGGGTAATACCCTAGGGAACACTGAATAGACAAGATTAGAAGGAACATGGACATCTGAATGAACTTGTGGAACACAGCTGACTATCCGTCTAATCTACCAGCTCAAACTTCTACTTGAAAGAGAAATAAATCTGATTAAAAAAATACACTTTTATGAAATGATAATCCATTCTTGGCAAAACACAACCGTCAATCTCTTACTGGTTTCTGAGAGTTTTCTTGATTTTTCTGTCCATCCAATCTGCAGGGAACTGCCAGCATTATTC